GGAGTCCCCATACACTTGCATTTCTTCAGATGCCATTGCCCCCAATTGGCTTTGTTGCGTAGATCTGACACCCAGATCGAATGATGGAGGTTGAAGGGAATATGGGAATTCAAATTCACCCACCGATTCAAGCTTGCCTTTGCCTTTTGAATTAACATTTTCTTCAACATTTGTATCCTAAAAAGCAAGAAAAAATATGCATTTCAGCGAACAAATAAGAAGCATTCAACAAATCATGTAGTATCAAATGAGTGACTGACTTTGTCTATTGGTCCAAATTGTCCTACAGTTTGAGACCTTGATTTCTCTTTAAATTTGTTCATAATTTCTTCCATCGAACTAGAAATCAATGCAGTTACAGAATCGAACATACATTGCATGTGTGATTTGATGTCCAGTATGTTTGTATGAATTTTACCTTGTATGCGAACAACAAGGTTCAGTTTCTTTTGCTAGACTCCAATGATGACACCTGTGTGTGCAATGCTTGAAGCTGTTTGTTTAGTAACCGCTTTTTGGACTGGAAAGCAAATATTTGTCCACTGAAATAATTTCTCAATTCATCAACCAACTGCATCCTGTGAATACCTAAAATCAGGTAACTAATGATGTGGAAATGTGAAATAAAATAGTGACTTGTGACACATATTGAAATATCATTTGACGTGTGACTTGGTAACTGAGACATGTGACCTGAAATATATTTCTGTGACATGTAAAGTTGACTGTTTCAACAACATTTGATAACAATAAATGGACTTGTGACATGATAGATATAACTATAACAACTTACATTATTTGACGGCTGACTCTCTGAATCAGGTGTATACAGATCAGTTGTGTCAGCTGACTTATGCTCCTCACTTGGCAACTCTCCGTCGAATGATATCCCCTGCCATCTGGGTAGGAGGTCAACAAAATCGTCATCATCAATGTGTACATTAGAGTGCCCTAATCTTTCATCAGTTATCAAAAGCATGGTAGTAGATTGTTTCATCTGCGAAGCACTTGGCTATGTACTGGTCCCAGCACGATGAACTGTTCGATCTGTGCTACCACCCTTTCTCTTTTCCTCACATGATTGATCAGGTTGGACAGGTTTCTCATACCACAATGTCGTCATGTACGGCATTGCAAAATTTCAACTTCAGTGGGGTCTAAGTTACATATTTCCAATTGCCATTCGGAACGCAGTAAAAATTTAATGGCAGCAAAACAAAAATCTAGGAACGATCAGATATAATGTTGCGCTATGAAAATATATTAATATAGGTTGAAATCAATAGTTAGATTGATCTGTTTTGTGATATAACAATATCAAGTGTGTTGTAAAAATGATTGTGACATGTATCGAATTTTGTGACCTCCAGAAGTTGAAATTTAAGACGCTCAGTATGATATACAATAGACGGAATATGATCTGTGACATATATGCGTGTCTGTGACAGACTGAATAGGATCTGTGACTTGATGAAACTAATTTGTGACCTATTTAATATGATATGTGACATATAAAGATGTGCAATTACTGATTCACTTACATCCAAATTGGAGAAGCATTCAGGCCCCTCGAGCTTAGCAGTCAATGGATGATCATCAGCCGTCCAATTCCTTATTTGGGGATGCACTTTTGATAACCTTCTAGCAATGTGTCCATCGAGACTGGGAATTGTCTCATAAATCATATTTGAAATGCTACCAACAAGCCTTTGAGTCTATAATGGGTTGTTCTCTTACTTAACTCCTCCCTCAATGAACAAACTAGCGTGTCGAACAACGACTTATTCCATGGGAACAAATTCATAGCATTAAAATTTTCAACTACTTATACACAGCCTTCTTGTAATCTCTCGAATATAGATATGACGTTAAGAAATACAATGCACAGAGCATAGAAACATCCTCTTCCAGAATTTCAGTCGCACCAAGAATGCTTCCTTAACGTCTTCATGAGTCACATTTTTCGACGTCGAGAAATACGCATTTTTGAAACGTGGAGGGATCTTCTCCGTCCTACTTGTATCGGCGTCGCCAACACATCTCAGCCTAGTCACTAAACAAAACTCCAAATCGAGAACTTTACAAATCTTCCAGCTATGTTAAACCACAGCTCATTATCATTAGGTTGTTGCACCTGCATCAACAAAAAGTAGTATATCTGCTGGGATTGGACAATGATTTCCCCACATTCCAAGAAGTGGGAAAAGCATGTATTCTGCAATATTCGACGTTAGGCTTCATTTAGATTTTTTTTTCTTTTTAAATTTGTCAGCACGCCCTTCATGGGGCTAATTGTAATTTTTCCCGAAATCCAACTCTTCTCCGGTATATTAAATCTTCAAGCTTGCAAATTGGTCATAGAAAACGCAACAGTTGGTCACAGATGTGATTACAGGTAAAAATAACAGCAACGTGTAGGTCACAAGTCCCCTCCCACAGATCAAAACTAAGCAACAAACTTATGAAACTACATAAATCATATACATAAGTCACAATCAAACAATTAAATTTCAAAACAATAGTAAAAACCCTTTCTAGACTAACGCATTTCGATTACAATTACGCACTACAAATTCAATGCAATATATCTCACAAATTCGAAATACTTCATCCACACACGTTACCCATCCATCAAAATATCCAGAGGTATGCTCAAAATAAGTGAAAATTTTAAAGATAGAAAACACGCCTTCATCGCAGGCAAAGTTGTGGCCGGCCGTGTAGATTTGTGTCTTATAGAGGAATGATCTTTTTGCACTTCATCAACCTTCCATTTACCTCTTGTGTCTGAATCATGGATTCCATGTTTCTCTCCTTGTTTATCACTCTTTTAACGAGTCATTCCTTGAGATTTTTGCAGTTTGTAGTTTGACGTGGAGTACGAGATGTTATTCGAACTATATTTACTGAAAGTAATTCCGATCGTCGATGCTGGCCATCGCGACTTTGTCGAGGAACAGACAGCGGTGAATGGCAGGTTAGGGCTTGAAGATTCGATGGTAATAGTCGTAAAATATGAAGATGTGGGGAAAGTTTATGGAAAGAATGTGGAGAAAGGTTTTCCAAAATATACAGTTTCCTAATTTTAAAACACGTGAAATAAAGAATCAGTTATTGGATGATTATCAAATAATTAATATAAAAAATTCCAATTTTTGAAATATCAAACTTCCAACCTAATTTAGAAATTTAGAATAATTAAAATATGATTGTGCGTAATCTCCACTTTATAAAATGAAAGCCCAACGAAACCATAGTAATCCATAGTTATTTTGTAGCATAAAGTTAGTTGAAAATGCAAAAACTATGGGGTGGTAAATTAGGGGATATAGATTAAATGAACATTCCTCAATCTTTCTGATTTATTGTTATGTTTTTCAATCTAAATTGTATTTAAAAGATAAAAATAATATTTTATCTTAATCTTTGTGTCCCACTCAAGTATCGTCCCATCCTCGCTCTCACCTCCTGAAAATCTCTGACAAGACATCTATTTCTCTTGATCTAATTGAATTCAATTAGGTGCATTGGCCTCTTGATTAATGTCAATTTGTTTTTTTTTTTTTTAACTAATAAATTTGCCATTTGTGCGGTTGTTTAGTTGAAAAATAAAAAAATTAGACCAACAGAAATAGAATTACAAAGTATTATTTGATATTTAAACAAATCAATATTTAAAAGAAATTTACTCTGTCAAAAAAAATAATAAGGAGAAGAAAATTACAGGTCACAAGCTAGCCAGACTCGTGTACGGGTTGGGCCTGCTAACCAAAATAGGCCCAATTATGTAACGAAGGATGGGCCTGACACGGCCGGAGTTTCTTTGTCTTGCTCTTTAAAATCTTTATTCGCTTCTTGGATTGTGCATTGTACCTTCGCGACGGTGGAGCTCCCCCACAAAAGTCTGCATCTACTGGTGGCGCACAACCGCTTCCCTGTTGCAGACGTTAGTAATGGCTGAACAATTTCAGAAGAAGAAACCTAATCCTAACAATAACAAGAATGCTAAGAAGAAAAACTCGGAGCAACATGAATTCGAATTCTGTCAGGTGTGTAAAGTGAACCACAATCAAGGCCGCCGCCACATTTATTTCCCCAGCCACAAGAACTCACTCTCTTCACTTCTCATGCGGTTCCAATCCAAGCTATCTGATGTGCGTTGAAACCCCAATCGCCCTCCGTCCCGAGCATGCGGATCGCGGCCGTCTGTGGTGTATTTTTTGTGATTGTGATAGTCTCGAGCTCGATAGTACCTTCGCATGGTCAGTAATTTAAATAATTTTTGAAAATTTTTTACTCAATATTGGAAGCTTAGATTGTTGTTCTGGTTATGGTTATCATTGTTCTTGTTTGAATGTTTGAGGGTTTCAGTGGCAATGCGATCCGGCATCTGGCTAGTGAGGAACATTGGAAGAGAGTAAAGGGGTTTATGTGGAAACATGGAGGCGAGAAGGACCGTGTGGACTCTTTTCGAATTTCCAAGGCAGATTTCGCGAAGGTAAATATCGAACTCAGATCATAAATCTCTATCTGTTCGTGTGTGTGGACATGCTCTGGCGCTGCCTCGTCTCTTCATGTATTGTTGGTTATGAAATTTGAGGCTCTCTTTAAGTCTTGAGTTCAGCAAGGAGAAGAAAGAGGTAGAGGAAAAGTGAACTGGATTTTGTGATGTATTTCTAAATACATTTTTGTGTTTTTTTTGTCTTGAAACATATAATTATGAAAGTTTTTGTGTTTATTTGCTAACATTGAAATGCCGAAAAACAAATTATCTGTTTAGTATTTGAGTCCCGAGTACAGAGAAGAATTACAAGTATAGTTTCAAAGCACTGGGCTAGACTTGTCATAGTCAGTGTGAAGTCTGGCTTGGAAAAATCTGTGATGAGAGTGTTGAGAAATATATTTTGATATTCAGCTTGTTCCTTGACATAAAAAACTCAAATGCAACATATCAATACTCTTTCATTTAGAAAATTCAATTAATATGATGTTTCAATTTGATGGATTATGCTTACCTTCTTTTAGTGTATCTTCGTCATCTCTTCCGTGAATTGCATAATTGTGGATTAATCTACAATCCAGTTTTAGTATTCATGCTATACTCTTCTATAGTGGAGAACATAAGTTGCTTTGATTGTCTTAGCAAATCTATATTGCGTTCTCCCGTCTTAGTTCGTAGCTGTTTTTCGATGGCATATTATATTGTACTTCTTAACAGCGTCGTGATATTCGGCTCCCCTTGGTTATTTGTGCTTGCAGTGGGAGAAAAAGTGCAATGGTTTGAAGACCGAAAGTGCTAATGCTGAATCTCATGGAACATTGATTGGTCCAATGAATGATATCCACAATGAACTGAACTTTGACTCTGTTAATAGTTTTGATAAAACTGATATCCAGTTTTTTTATTTTAACACCTCAAAAAGTGTTGTGCCTTTACAAAGCTATACAAATGAGAGATCTCAGATATCTTACTCAGATTTATCTCGAGTCTCAGAGGCTGGCCCTCCTTTACAGAATATGCTTGGGGGCACACAAGTGGGAGATGCACGTGTTTTGAAAAATTCAGCAGGTCTATATCCGTGTTACTGTTATGGTCTTTATTATAAACCGTCCTTACGATGTTAGTATGCTTTATAGCTCCATGTATTACATAATTTGCATCTCAAGTAATTGGTCTTGATGATCTATGATGCTTATGTTATGAATAGGTTATGTTGGATATCAACATTCATGCAACACTCTTGTCGGGGCATGCTTATCCTCTGGTTACGTCATTAATGGATCTGTAAGTTTATTGTTAGTATAATCTTAATTAAGTTTTCCTTCACTTTCTGTTTCTTCTTCTATATTCAGTTCATTATTCTTGATAATATGTTTTTATCGCAGTATGAATTGTGTTCTAAATCATAAACTATTTTTGTAAGACCATTTCCTGTGCATCAATTGTGATGGACAAATGTAACTGTGAGATCAAAGCATATTGGTTCTGTTTCTCGTTAGTTTCAATAGCCTCACTGAAGTCTTAACATATATTCATCTTGAGAAAGCATATAAAACTGTGTTTCTTTGGTCTTATTCTTGTTATTTATCTATATGAACTTTCTTTGATTATACAAGAAACTTCTTGATATCTTTTGTTGGGAACTTGATCTCCTGTATCCTTAATGCACTTTGCCAAATGCTTCAAATAGCTTGCTGTGAGCTATAGGCTTATGAATAAGTGCAGATGTGGTTTATTTTATTATGTCAATGGATAATCAATGTCTCCATATTACAAATTGTTACCTGCTTTCAAACAGATTCTAACCATAGATCCTCATCATATAAATGCTAGGCTCCTAAGATGCCACAGTGTATTTGTTTTGGATGGAGGCTACAATTACTTGGGCTATTTGGTAAAAAATGGGTTGAAGGTAGACACAAGCCACATATCAAATTACCCGTTTAGACCAGTTAATTAATTGAGTGGACATGGTGGTTAGCTTTTCACCAGATATCAATTTAAACCCCACCCTCCTGGGAAAATGAAAGCCAATAGATTGACTTGGGTTGGTAGTTTTGGGGAGGCAAATATGCCCTGGGAGGTAGGGGAGAGAAGTGAAAGAGATATAGGATGAGAGAATGAAAGTTGGAAGACCAAAAGAATACAGACTTGGTGAAGGGGGTCAGGGAATGGAGAATAGCAAGAGATAGGTAAAAACTAAGTAAATTATCTACTTCATTGAAGTTTGGTTACTGGACAGCTGCATGGTAATTGAACCATGTGGACATCCCTAACAATCACTCTAACAGACCAATAGAGCAGGTGTCTTCACGATTTTATGTTCTAGATTCCTCGTCGATTCTTCCCATCGTTCCTTTTATTTTGGACATCTCACTTAGAATGCCTCGCATTCTTTTCGATCTTGTGCCCAGTACACTGAACACCAACAGCAATTTTCATGGCTTGATGTTGGTGCCAAATGAGGCAAAGGTCATTATCATGCCTTTTCTGATGAATCGTAGAGTTTTATGATTTCATCAACTAAACTGGTTATCAAATGAATTGTAATTACAATTGAAACGATCGAAAAAGAAAAGTAAAAACATGGGCTTTCCCCTGGTTATAAGATTTCAGGTGTCACTACCCTAGACCATCAGTCTAATTTATACTTAACTCCTGCTATGAGAGGTTCTCGGTAACACAAAGTTGCTGTGAGGTATGAGTCAAAAGATTTTCAGTAAGAGAAAATGCTATTAATCTATGATTATATTCATTGGTAATCAAGAAAAGCTGCATGGAGTGAATAACAAAGTATAAGCTACCAGTGAAGAGATTCTTGCCCAGGATACCTGGCATTTGATAAACTTCCAAGTTGTCTGTGTGTGAGAACACACCAATTTACCAAAATTAGCTGACCATATTATTTGTAGAAAAAGAAGAGAACTTAGGAAATATGTTTTTTTTTTTTTTTACTTGGCAGTATCTTTGATTCGTTGAGTATTCTTGCATTTAGTATAGTGAACTGGCGAGACTTGAACTTCCAATGTCTTTTTTAACAGTTCTAGGATGTTTGTATGTCTGGCAATACTCTTTTTTCAATCATAACTTACTAGAATTTTGAATTTGATATATTTTGCTGCTATTTTTGTTCTTTGATTAGCTTACCAAAAAAAAAATGTTCTTTGATTAATATATTTCTTAGTCAATTTGATAGTTGACTGCACTGTATTGCAATAAATATTCTGGCGAATATTATTATTATATTATCAGTATAATACCTTTGCTGGCGACTTTAGCAGGTTTGCCCTGGTGAAAGAACAGCTAATGGAGTGAGCAGTTCTCAGGGTAACATCTATATCTACAGTTCCTTGCTTTTCAGAATGTATCTTCGTAGCTTCATGCTCAATTTGCTCGTCATAGTCTAGTTGTTTATGTATTGAAATGCTACAGATTCTTCTAACCATTTAATGGGAAACATGAAATCAGTTTTAAGCTTTAGTTTCAAGAACTTTTTTATGTGTTTATTCATTAATGCAATTTGACAACAGTTTTGCAAAACCTTACACAAATAACTTCCTTACCCCGAGAAGCAACTGAAGGAAATGTTCATACTGGAGCACCTCCTCCTTGGTTTGATGCAACTGAAGGAAATCAGCAGGACGTTATGCTAAAACCAGAATTTAGCAATTTTGTTTCCCATTCAGGGAAGTCCTCAAAATTAAATCCAAAACGGGTTGGAGCTGCTTGGGCAGAGAGAAGAAAGAAAGAGCTAGAGCTGGAAAGGAAGGGTGAGCTTGTCACCAATAATTTTGATGCTAATTGGCTTCCTAATTTTGGTAGAGTTTGGCAATCGGGTACCCGAAAAGAATCCAGAAAAGAATTTCACAAGGAAAATAAATCATCTATAGAGGTTGAAAGTAAATCGGAGAAGCTGATCTCATTGCAGCCTTATATCAGCAAGCGAATGGTAAGATTTGCATCTATTGTGCTATGTATCATATCGCCAATTTTTATAATGCTCTTCTTGAGTCTATATTTGGAATCATTACTTCTTTCAAGAATTTGTGTTCTCTATACAAATCGGCTTTCCTTTATCTATATACGTAACCTGGACTAAGCTATGAAATTTTAGTGTGTTGCTTGTCTACGGGTAACTAAGTTTTATTCTCAATATATTTTAGGTCAGCTGTGTGAATCCTTTTTCTCTGTTCTACATGATCCATTACCTCGTATGTAGAAAGATTAAATCAAATCAAATGCTTTGCAAATTGATCAGGCTTATTCCCTCTTCTGAGTTGTTCTATTGACTATCGTCAGTGGGAAATTTATGATTTCAACATCCTTAACTTCAATATTCATATGTAACATGGAAAAACAATCGAGAAAAGTCGTTAAAATCAACTTCATACTAAACATTTTAGACCATTACCTGTGAATTTTTTGGAACTCTCAGGATTGCTTTTTGGCAGGTTGGTTATATACAAACCCTCCCCCCTCCCCTCAAAAAAAAGAAAAAAAAGAAAAAAAGAAAAAGGGACGACGAAGCTTTATTTCCACTAAATTTGGAGTCGGCTACATGAATTGTTTTTTCGAACACTTTGTACGATTTATTGTCATGTGTTTTTGGAGTAATTTTTTAATTTATCTGGGAGATTTGAAATTTTACTGGAATTTGTGACTATTGATAAATAACATTTTTGTTCTCTCAATATGATTTTCATCTGTGGCTTACTATTGCAGCGCAGAGATGCAAGTGAATAATGCTTCTAAATCATATTGTCCATTCACCGTGCTACATCTCTGTTTCAATGTTGCTTATGATGTATATTTTCTGTTTCTACACTCGTCGAGACAAAGGTAATGGAAATCATTTTCATCATGTAGCTCAATCTTGTAAATGCATTGTATCTTTAACCATGCTAGCAGTGTCTTGAAAATTAATTAATTTGAATGGTTTTGTGCTATTGGCACGTGTGACTCTGTACCTGTATTAGCTGAATGTTTTTTGGGGAATTTGGCCAATTAGCTTAGTTGGACATTGTATTTGGCGCGTTTGACCAATAATAAAAACAAAGGGAAAAAAATGCAAATTATTTTAGTTGGCATACTAACAAAATTCTCCTTCAGTTATTAAATCAATAACCCCCAGTTTTCCTTGTTTAATCTTGTCATTTCTTTTCCAAATTTACTGTAAAACCCTAGTTTCTATTATTCATGAAAATAATATATTTTTCCCCGTTTCATCTTCTTCAATTTTAGGTTCTCAAAATTACAATTGTCCATTTTCATCTCTTCAATCATCGTTTTACTACCCTAGCATCGTGTTTTTATTAAATTTTTCACTTATTTTGGGTATCTTTTGAGTATGTGAACAAACATTTGGTTAGCATATCATCTACATTGAAAAATCTCATTTAAATTTAAAGAGAAAAGTAAGACAAGGAATCTCATGTAGATTGTACTATTATTATTGAATATAATATTAAATAATATTTAGTTGATGTTTTCGTATTTAGTGTGTTTTTTGTGTTGTCTACGACCATTGGATGATAATAGCACTCCAATTGCTATCTAAAATGTTGAACATCACTCCAATCGTTGTTTGTTACGTAAAATGCTACTATAGTCGTTATCTACTTTAGTTTAATTTTTCAACAAAATTATCTATAATAATGGACTCATTAATATATATAACACATAAAGATAAACTATCACAAAGAACAGTTAAAATAACGTAACTTTTATACTATTAAGTTGTGAAAGCACAAGTTGTCCTATTCACATGTGTTGATTAAGTTAATAAACATACTTCTGAACTTTTATAGATGTGTGCATATTACAACATATGAAAGCTTAACTAATTATTTCTTAGGGCACGAATGGGTCGTGGTTGTTCATACTCGTGTTTATAAACGTAACATCACAAGTTCTGTATTCATACCAGTAACAACACTTGTGTTCCGAAATTTTTACCTATATTTTAATTTTTTTTTTCAACAAAGTAATATTTAATAATGGACTCCCTAATGAATGTAATATAGAAAGTTTGATCATGTCATAAAATAACTTAAATGAGTTTCACTTATTGATTCTCTGAGTATGGATAAGACATGATTGCTTGTGCTCGTGTTTACACACGTAATTGAACAAAGGTTGTTTTCATATCAGGTGTCGTTCTGTTGATTTTTTTTACATTTTTTATTTTAAATGCAACGACATCCAACAACAGATCACCTAACATGTGTAAAACATGAAGGTTGACCATGTGAAAAAAAGATAAAAATAACATAAATTTTATGTTATTGAATTGTTGAAAGCACAAGTCATCCTATTAATTCATTTCGATTAAGTTGATGAGCAAATCTCTCAATTTTCGTAAATTTCATGTGCATATTACAACGTAAATAAGTTGCACTTATTATTTCTCAAGGCACTTGTGTACCGTTACTGAGGTGAAAATGTCCATGAAAACATAACAAGTATTTTACTAAAATAGAATTTTTAACACCAGCATATTTCACTATCGAAGGATTGTAGTTTCTAAACAAACAATATGATAACGACACATGTGACATTATTAGAAACATAAGTGTCCATGATAATGGCACAAGTGTGACGGAACTTATAAGAGGGGCATGAGAATGACTCAAGTGTCTTTATGTTTGTTACAAGTTTTCATGAGAACAAAACAAATGTCGTTACTAAGATGAAAATTTTTATGAAAATGGCACAAGTTTTGTTATATTTGTAAATATAAGTGTCCAGGAAAACAAACATATGCCATTACTCATATGAAAATGTTTATGAAAATTAGAAGATAGTATCATTACTTACATAGAAGCAGTTATAACTCATTCACATCTAGTGGCGAATCCAAGATGGACAGTCAGCTAGGGTGAACGTTGACCGTTGACCATTGACAATCAACAATCATAATAGCGATGTCATTTATTAATATTTAATTAAATAATATTAGAAAATTCAATATATATAAACTAAAACGTAAAAATTCTATACGTATGAAAATATAATTCAATACAACTCAAATAATAAAAATATCACGTCTAATATATATGTGTGTGTATGTGTGATACAACCTTACTCCATAACGGTAAATTTAGATTACTAGATTCTAGGGGGTCTCATATTTTGAAAACCTTACAATATTGCATAATTCTCAACTTTTCAAAAAATAATAATAATAATAATAAAAAAAAAATTTCTCTATGTAAACCACCAAATTGTCATTCAACCAATCATATCCCATTTTATTACGCAAGTCACTCTTGATTAGATTCATAGTAGAGAATACCCTTTCGACACTTGCAATTGCCACAAATAATATCAAAATCAAGGTGATCAGCCTACAAACTAATGAAAAATAACAAGAACTTCTTGTTTCAACCAACTTCTAAACTATACGACATATACAATTGAGATTAAAGAAAGTTTCAACCATTCTCTCAAACATAAGAAACTTGTCAAGTTAAAGTCTAAATAATAAAAGCTCTTCACTGTTGAAGTCCAAATGATAGAACTGAGCAAAACGTACCAATTTATCCTTTTCAAAAGCTACAAATGAATCTATTGAACTTAAACACAACATGCAAGTAAGGAGCTCAGTAGTTGTCTCTGGAAAGCGATCGTCAACTCTTGTAAGATTGAGTCTATCACGTGACAATACAAATCATGTAAGTCACTTGCTGAGCTACAAGCCTATTCGGAACAAAGGTATGTCTACCAACATAGAACTCAATCACCCTACTCAACAAATTATCTCAACCATTGTCTCTCATGTCTGCAACGCATACTTACGCAAATTTAATAACGTCATAGCATTCTAAACATCCTGACATTTTTTTTGTAAAGCTTGTGAAAGATATTCTGTAATTGCAAGAATTTCAAACATAAAATGTAGACTGAATACAAACTCAAAATCTTACACAATGCTCATCTGTCTCATGGCCATTGATTTCTGATCTGCATTTATGCCACCTTCTGATATATCCTTAAGAATATTTATGATCGCATTAAACATATTAATAATACAAGTAATTGTCAATAGATAGGAGCCCCATCGAGTATCACCTGGGTGGGCCAAACTCATTTCTTAAAACTTACCACTTCCACCGTAAAGTTCCCCGATATTAAGTTTTTCCAGAACATCAGAATGATAACTTGCTCGAAGAGCATCTATACGTTTACATGATGTAATAACCAAATTCATAATAATGGAAAGCATGTTAAATAAATCACCAAGCATATTATTCTTACATGACACAGAAACAATTACCAACTAAAGTTGGTGAGCAAAGCAATGAACATACATAGTATATGGGTTCTCTCTTAAAATTAAAGCTTTCTAGCCATTAAACTCACCTGACATATTGCTTGCTTCATCATAACCTTGACCTCTTATGCTAGATATGCTCAACTCATGTGTTGAAAACATTGCATCAAGGCATCCTTCATTGATTGGGCAGAAGTACTTGTGACATGAGAAATGCCCCCCAAAAAGGCTCATTCACTTGCCTACTTTTGTCAACAAACCTAAAAACAACTGTCATTTGTTCCCTTATAGAATCATCACGAGCCTCATCAACCAATATTGAAAACAAAGAATCACCCACCTCATTGATAATAGCCCATGTCGTCTATACGGCACAATGATTAACCATATCTTTTTAGATGGTTGGTGAGATCATTTGGTCATTTCCAGGAGCAGTACTATATAATACCTGTTTAACTTCCTCACAACGAGCTGCATACCAATCTAGTAGCACTATTAGATTCCTCTATTAGGATACTCTTTCGATTTATCATGACCACGAAATGACAATCCTTGCATCAAGAAGAGTCTAGCACAATCTAACATCGCAGTCAACCTCGTCCTATAACTTTTTAGTTGACTACTATTTTGGTAAAAAAAGCAAATTTTGATCAAATCTATATTTGCTCAACGGATACAATCGACTTATGGGAAAACTCAAATTTCTACCAAGATAACTGGAAGTTCCAACTAGTCAGAATCCTAATGAACCTAAAAAAGGGATAATGGCCCTGTATAAATTAGAAATGACATAGTACACTTTATGAAAGCTTGATTATAAGCACTATCAAAGAAACTGACATAATCTTTCAATGTCTTTTTGTGCTTCCAATCCCTATAGCCGATCTTAGTGAATATATGTCCACCCTTTTGACCTCCTATATCAGGTTTGAACAAGTAGCAATACAAACAATTAGCCGCATCCTTTTCTATGATATACTCCAACCAATAAAATTCAAAGAACCATTCTTTTCGAAAACATCTATTGTCATTTCCCATCGGTCTTCTTGGAAAGTCATGTCAATGTTGTTGACAAGGACCTTTCTCTAAATATGTCATCCTAACATCATCTCTAATATGAAGATCATATGGCTCGATAGGGGGCGTTTCCTTGGATTGGATATAAGATCATCCATATTGAATTGAGCCTGAAACTTCTTTGTGTTAGTTAACAACTCGTGTCCTCAACTAGAAGCTACGACGGGACTAGATGCACCACTAGAACTAAAAGAACTAGGTATGGACTTTTGTTTCGATCGAAGAAATTGTTCCACGACTTGTAGAATGTCCCAATTTATCATCAATTAAAATTGATTAAACAACAGAGTATGTATAGTTGAATTGAGCCCAACATCTTCTTCATTAATTTTTGTCACTTATCCCTAGGTTCCTAAACCTAAATTCCCAAATCACAAATTCACAATTCTCATTTCTTTGTCAATTAACTCACAAAACATAAATCATACGGTGGTGACTCGTCGAGTCCTCGTTGTCACTCATTGTCACAATAGCTTCGCAAATCGAGCCAAAAGGTGGAGAATGATCGCATACTGTTTGTCTCTGCTTCACTTCCATTTGGATTTTGGTAGACTTATAGATATGATATATCCATAGACCAGGGTCCATGAATTGGGCCCCCATCATCAAGTAT